CAAGATGTCAACAGGATGCCATATTGGTGGAATGCGGACATCGAGGCACTAAGAAATGTATGTATAGCAATGAGAAGAAGATTAACAAGAGCAAGAGGCAGAGCAGGAATCAATCCTGAGGTCATCGAGGAGATCGAGGAAGAGTACCGCGCAAGGAAGAGGGAACTGTACAGGAAAATTCGTACAGAAAAAAGAAGGCACTGGAAAGAGCTGTGTGAAAAACTGGATGAGGACATATGGGGTCAGGGATACAAGATCGTTATGAAAAAGTTCCATGCGTATCCTCCTTATGAAATGCCTATGGAGAAGAAGCTTGAGGTAACAAGAGAGCTCTTTCCGGACGGCAGATGTCATGGTGTATGGAGGGATGAAGGAGCTGAGCGGGCTGTACCCTTTACCATGGATGAACTTGTCGAGGCATTGGGTTCACTCAAGACTCGTAGGTCCCCCGGACTGGATCAGATACCACCTGAGGCGGTAAAGGGTCTAGGACGGGTGGAGCCTGCGTGGCTTCTGGAACACATGAATGCATTGCTGGAAGCACAAACCTTTCCTGAGCCTTGAAGGACATCGAGGTTAATACTGCTTCCCAAAGGTAGGGAAAAGTATCGCCCCATCTGTCTTCTTCCATGCATCAGTAAGCTCTATGAAAGGATGCTACGAGTACGCATAGACGAGATGATTGAGAGGTCAGGTGGTTTATCTCGGAGGCAATTTGGTTTTTGTAAAGGGAAAAGCACGATTGATGCAATTATGAGCGTACTCGAAACATTGCACAACAGAGGGAATGAACATCGCTGGGCGGCCCTGCTGTTGTTTGATGTTAAGAATGCATTCAATACGCTGCAGTGGAACGAGGTAATGAAGGCAATGGAGGAGAGAGAATGTCCTGGTTACCTGATGAATGTTATGGCGGAGTATCTGTCCGAGAGAAGGATTATGGTGGAAAAAGGCACGATCGTGGACGTGACGGCCGGGGTACCCCAGGGATCTGTCTTGGGCCCGACGCTATGGAATCTGGCATATGACGGGGTTATGCACTGTGAATACGGAGAGGGTACAACCCCCTTCGCATTCGCGGATGACCTCGCTGTACTGGTAGTAGCCCGGGATGAGCCAGATCTCAAATACCGGGTTCGGAACGCAGGTGGCGTCGTAAAGAAATGGATGACGCAGCACGGACTAAAACTTGCGACAGAGAAAACCGAAGCCATTATTCTGAAGGGGACAAGGAACAGGCAAGGTGTTGAATTAAAATGTGCGGGGGTATGTCTAACACCCAAGACACAAGTAAAATATCTAGGAGTGACATTGCACCAGAATGGAAAATGGGGGGAACACGTTCGGGAGGTGGTCCGAAAGGCTGCGAATAGTGCGGCTGCGTTAGGGAGAGTAATGCCGAACATTGGAGGACCCAAATCCGAAAGGAGGAGGGCCTTACACGGTGTTGTACAGTCTATCGTTCTCTACGCAGCACCAGTCTGGAGCGAGGCGGTAGAGATAACGGCCTATAGGAGTCTTATGAAACGAGTAGACAGAACAAGTCTGTTGCGAGTAGCATGCGCCTACAGGACTGTGTCTGCGGCAGCCTTATGGACCATCACTGGATGTGTTCCGTTGCATATTTTGGCGGTGGAAAGAAAAGAGCTTTATGAGAGAAGAGGCCCAAACCTTACTGTGGCTGAGAAAAGACAGGTAAGGGAAAGGTCAGTTGAAAGATGGCAAGAAGAATGGAACAATACGGAGGATGTGGCACAGTGGACGAAAATTCTGATCCCTAACATAAGAGTTTGGGTGGACTGTGACCACAGGCGATTGGATTATTTCCTGACGCAGGTGCTCACAGGACACGGGTGTTTTAGGGCCTACCTTTATAGGATCGGTAAGGCCGATACAGATGAATGCCTGTATTGTGGATATTCGGACACTGTGACACATACGATGTTAGATTGCAGCAGATGGATAGCGGAAAGGAACAGAATGGAGAGAGAGACAGGTGTGAATTTTGTTACAGTGAGAGAAATGATTGAGAGAATGATTGAAAATAAATTAGGTTGGATTAACATACACAGTTATATCCGTGCAGTGATCAAAAAAAAGGAAGAGGAAGAAAGACAGCTGAACCAACGGCAAAGGTAGAGTGAATGATGCTGAAAGGTGAAGTGGGTCACACTTTTTGAGTTAGAATGCGTGAGTATGACTGTGGGGAAAGAGGAAATATCCTTCTGAGAATGACGCCGAACTAGGAGTGTGAATGTGTATGAATGGAGAATGAATGAATAAAGGTAGTGCTTCGGAAGTGATGCCGGCCTTACAGCGGCCATTCCGCTTCCGGATCGCTGGATGACAGAGGAGGGTCTGGTTTAGCAGGTAGGCGTTCGGCGTAGACTCGGCGACGAGAGGGCATTTTAAAGTTTAAAAAAAAAAAAAAAAAAGTGTACTCGCTAATCTGAATACTGGTAAACAATCAACTAGTTACAGTTTACGAAAAACGGTTCCGATAATAATAAAAAAAACGAGAAGACCCACCTCTAGTTTTTTTAGGTATATTAGGATCGGAACCAGAGAATATCTGATCGGAACTAATCGTCTCACTAATGGGCAATGGCCAATGAGTGTTAAAAGGATTTTAGGAGGGGAGACGAAGGGGAAATATAATTGTTATCTTTGTCTAATTCGTTGAAAATATGATTTTATATCTGCGTTAGATATCCTGTTAAATTTTACCATACCGACCTTAAAATTTTACCTACACTGTATATATATATATATATATATATATATATATATATATATTATATATATATTTCCAAAAAGGAACAGATTTGGAATTAAATTCTACGTTTTATGTGACTGTGACACAAGCTACATTTTCAAGTTTATCATTTATACTGGGTCTAATACTGACATTAAAATTTTTGACAGACCTAAAATTTCTGAGAATATTGTATATAATGTGATAGAGCGTTACTTGAATAAAGGCCATACGTTGTATGTGGACAACTGGTACAGCAGTCCGCTTTTATTTGATAAGCTATATAAAACCAATGTAAAATCAAATGGACAACATATGCCACCCATGACGAAAAAACCTATGTAAAGGTCAAGTTGTTGGCTACAAGACTAAAAATATTCAGGCGCTGAAGTGGTTGGATAGACGTCCAGTTACAATGCTTACGACACTTCACTCAAGCAACATGAAAGGTAGTAGTAAAAAAACTAAGGACAATGTTTATACCCAGAAACTAGAATGTGTACTGGATTATAATTGTAATATGGGAACTATATATAAATCTCAGTATCACTGAATCTGTCAGAAAGTAAATAAAGTGGTATAAAGTTATTTTTTCATTTGTTGCACTTAAGTTTGTTAAATGCTCATATATTATATAATACTACCAGTGGAAAGAATATTCTACTTGCAGATTTTCATTTAACACTTGTTAAAGAAATTATTGCTGAACATAAGAAAAGCAAGCCTTGTGCCTCGACAAGTCGTAAACCGGAAGATGTTCATTCACTATTACACTACGACTGATATAGGAGTAGACGTCGCGCGCTAGCAGATTTCAAATATTGTACCGAGAGCTCAGTTGATCGAGAACCGCTTAGCTGTATACAACTGTATACACTTGTATACAGCTTGTATACAGCTAAGCGGTTCTCGATCAACTGAGCTCTCGGTACAATATTTGAAATCTGCTAGCGCGCGACGTCTACTCCTATATCAGTCGTAGTGTACCCCTTATTAAGAGACATTTTCCCACAATGTATCAGGCCACCGAAGAAATTAAAAGACCACCAAGTACACACTGTGTTGTATATGTACAAAGCATAAGGTTCAAAAAGAAACACGCTATACCTGCATAGCCTGAAATGTGCCTCTATGCGTTACACCATGTTTTGAAAAGTACCATTATAAAAAAAAATTGAATTTTCCTTTCAATGTAGTCAAAACTTTTATTTATATTTTGCATTTGAATGTTTTGTTACAGTTGCTAATGATAAATGAAATAATGATAATTTTTCAGTGTATTTAATTTTTTTATTTTTCAAAAATCTAACGGCAATAAATTTATAGTTGCTTGTACAAAATTTAAATACAGTCCTGAATACACTGTATTGATACACTGCGAGAATCGTATTTACACGCTATAATACTTCATCGACTGACTGCGGCAACCGTGTTGATCAGCACAGGCATGAAACAGCCGTACCAGAAACCATACTACTTTTATCACTAGCCGCAGTGAAAAGGTTAAACCAACATTCAAATGAAGTCATCGGTCAAAATTAAATGAACAATAGTGCTCTTTTACAGTGTTTTTAATGTTTTTTGTTTCTTTTTTCTCGTTTAGTTTTAATGTTAAGTTATCGTAGAGTTTTTATAACATCTAAAAAAACCTACAAATTGATTTTGTAAGTATGAACCCTGTTCGTTGTTTACTTATATCCTAAGATCTTTTATATTTGTAGTAAAGTGACGTTGTTTACTTATATCCTAAGATCTTTTATATTTGTAGTAAAGTGATGATGCTTTTAAAAATAAAATCGAAACCTATTTAATTAGATCAATGAAGTTGTTGACGACTTTCATTTGCCAATTATTGGCCGATTCAACCTCTCCTATCCAACGTTCTTTTTGGTTATTGGGACCCGGTGTATTGTGCATGCGAACTTTTCCAGCTGTCATGTTGAACGTACTGACGAGCTCGGACTCAGCCTCAGACTGGCACAGCGTTCCTACTATTAATAAGATCAGTAAAATGTTTATACCACGTGTGAGTTCTATCTGAGTTGTTATTCATACTTCCAAAATATCAGTTTATTGTAGTTACCTCTGAAAATTGGAAAGTAAATGTTACTTAAATGTTGAAGATGAAAGTAAGGATGCAGATTAAAACCAAGCTGCATAAAAAATGTATAAATATAAATGTAGTACGATTATTTGGCCAGTGGATTCACAATACTAACACATTGTCATTTGTATTTATTTACAGGCACCAGTTTCTGAACACAACTCTGTGAAAAAGCTTCCAGCCAAGCCATATCACAGAGATCATATGCCAGAACGACACGGAGTTCATCATAAACCAAGCCATATCTCAGGAAGCACTGTTAAGAGATCTCCTCCATATTCCACTTATCAACACCGTGATGCACCACCCCCAAAGAAGCACAAAATTTCCCAAACATGTCGAGATGTGAGTTTAAGTGAGGCTGGAAAATATGGAACTCTAAACGATTACGCATTTTTTGATAAGGTATTAATTGTAATTTGTGTAACTTAACCTTTGTAGTGGACAAAAATAGAAAAGAAATGATGTTGCAAACGATGTTGAAACCAATGCAATTGTTGCTTTGCATAATATTCATATAGTAGTCAATATGTTATTATTGTTATGCAATATGAATGTGTGTGCGTGTGTGCACCGATATTTGTGGTAACGTGTGTTAACATATTCCTCATCATTATCAATGGCGCTACAACTCTTCGTGAGTCTTTGCCGCGTTTACTATTGCCTTCCATGTTTGTCGGTCCTGTGCTAGTAATTCCAGAACAGAACAGACAGAACATATTCCTGTATTATGGTAACTTCTTAAATTGTGGAACTTACACACTTTAATCACAATTTCATTCCTCAGCATTTTCTTTGTTTTAGTAGTATTTACTATCTCCTCCTCTTCAGTCCTAATCCCTTTTGGGATGTGGTGACACTATGAGGCCTTTACAGTTTTTTCACGATTTCCCTCCATCCTTCTCTGTCCTGGATTAGTTGTTCTGCTTCATGTAACCATTGGTTAATCAATATTTTTATTTGATCTACCCAACGGCTTGGAGATCTTCCCCTAGGTTTCTTTCCTTCAACTCTACCCTGAACTATCAGTTTTTCCATCGTACTGTTCTAGCAATGTTTCCAAAATACTGTAAATATATCTGTTGTATTTGTTTAAGCAATCTATCCTTTACTTTAAGTTGTTCTAATATCGATACGTTAGTGCGATGATCAATCCAAGATATTCTCAACATGCGGCGGTATACCCACATTTTAAAAGCTTTCAGTTTATTTTTATCCGCTTTCTTTAAGGTCCACATTTCGAATGCATATGTGGCTATGGTAAAAATGAGCGCCCTTACCAGCCTTAGTTTGTGTGTATTGTTATGCTAGAATTTTTCCAAATTGCTACCAGTTTCACCATAGATGTTCTAGCAATAGTTAACCTTCTATGTATCTGTCCTATGTATCTGTCACATTGTTCATCCCTCCGTCATTTGTTATTAGGGACCCCAGGTATATGAAACTATTTACTACTTTCTAAGTCCCCAATTTCTTTAATGTGTTGAAGATTATTCCGAGCTCTGAAAAATGTATTACTTTGATTCTGCGTATGTTGCCAGAAATCAGGTTGAGGCAGATTGAATTTACACACGTAATTGTGGCATCGTGAGCGTGGTCGTAAAGTGGCGCACTCTGAGATGACCTTGCGGTGTTGCTCATTTCAGTTGAAATCAAAATATGTTTATTTCGATTTTGGGAAGAAAACGTGTGGCAAGGGGTGAAAAATATAGTAGGGTGCTAATAAATTCGTAAAAACCTAGCAGAACACAGTGGTATTTTCAAAATATTTTTTTTTTAATTTCGCTGGTTTGAATATTCGAATATTAAGCTAGCAAGAACTTTACTAAATAAGATTAATTTAGGGGGGGAAATTATTAGGATGGTCAAAGTTTAGTAAAAACTTAACAGAACACTTTTTTATTTCAGTTGTATGTACAGGACAGTGAAATTTTAAAGATTTTTTTTTCTTAAATTTCAACATATTTATTTATTTATTTATTAACGGATATACCATTTTTACATTGGAACAACATATAATATATAAAATTTTACAAAGTAAGCACAACATTGGAAAATAATTAGTAAAGTTTAACAAAAACTAATAATTAACTTGAATACAAACTAATATCACCTATTATATAGTCTCACCATATGAGTAAGAGGCTTGAAGTATTCATAATTAAATTGATGAAATGGCAGATGAAATAATGAAGTATGTCTAGTTCCATGAAGAGTGTTAAGACCTAATCGATTTAAAAGTTCAGGGCAATTTATCAAATTATTAACAATTTTGTAAAGGAATATTAGGCAAAAATAATCCTTTTCGCCGATTCATATAATAATAGTGTTTACCAAATTAATGCTGAACACGATCAAGCTTGTCTATAGAGGTTTGATAGTAAGGTCCCCATACGACTATTGCATATTCCAGTCTGGAGCGAATGAGACTATTAAAAAGAATTGGTGAAACAAAACATGAAAATTGAGAAGTGTTTCTAGTTATAAACCCTAATTGTTTAAATGTACTGTTTACTGTGACCTCTAGATGATTACGAAATGTTAATTGACAATCAAAATAAACACCTAAATCCTTAACACACTTCTGCCTTGACAGCTGAGTGTTATCAATACTATAATCGTAATTTAAAATTGTTTGCTTTCTGTGAAAAGTAATAACACAACACTTATCAATGTTCAATTTTAATTCATTTAGTTTGCACCAATCGCTAAATCTGCTGAGATCCTCTTTTAACTGAATTTGATCATACTGACAAGTAATGACTTTATAAATTTTTTTATCATCAGCAAAGTTCAGAAATTTTGAATTCTTAATGACTTTTTCAACGTCGTTAACAAAGAGGACAAAAAGTAGAGGACCACAATGTGACCCCTGTGGTACTCCAGAGAGGACGTCAACAGATTGAGACCCACAAGAAAACTATCATACCAATCAAGCCATTCGCCAGCTATACCAATGGCTCTTAATTTATTAATTAAATAACGATGATTTACTTTATAAAATGCCTTTGAGAAGTCAGTATAGATGCTGTCCACCTGGTACTTCCTCTCAAAGGCACCCAACATATCATCTTGGTAGACCAAGTTTGACACTGTGTTCATCCCCTTTTGAAAGCCATGCTGATGGGGTATTATTATATTATCCGTTAGTTTTGATAAGTGAGAAGTCACTAGTTTGTCGAGAAGTTTTGGGATTGCTGACTGTATACAAATTCCTCGGTATTTTTCAATATCTTCTCTTTTACCTCACTTAAAAATGGGTACAATATAACTGTTCTTCCAGCAAGGAGGGAACTCACCAGTCATAAGAGATAAATTATAAAGATATTTTAGGGGAATATTAAGAGAGCATAGACAGTGCTTTAATAATACCGGTGGGATTCCATCAGGCCCTGAGGAGGATTTTTTTGGAAGTTTTCTTAATTCATCAAACACTGATATAGTGTCAACTTGAATTAGGTTTACAGGGTCAATGTGTCTGACACAGTTTTCAAAATCTGGAATGGGAGCTCCCTTATCTTTCTCATATACACCAGAGAAGAACTCAGCAAAAAGGTTAGCAATTTCGATATTGCCCTGTGTCCTTCTGTTACCGAGATACATTTCTTGTGGGTAACTTGAAGATTTACGAAGTCTGCCAATGTATCCCCAAAATTCCCTGGGGTATTACTAAAATTTTTTTCAAGAGACGAAAAATTTTGTTGCTGAAAAGTGTATGTTCAACTTTACATTGATCACGCAGATTAGAGAACAATAAGTAGTCCTCGTTTGATTTAGATAATTTAAACCTCAGATGAGCTTTTTTCTTTTGAATAATAAGATCTTTAAGTTTTATTGAGAACCAAATTGGGAACTTCTAGGAACACTTGACAGCCTTCATAGGAACAAAAATATCTAAACACTGATACATACATCTGTAAAATATTTGACAAGCCTCATTTATATTATTACAATGGTATAATGCATCCCAATTAACTGAAGATAGACAAAGGTTAACAGAATTAAAATTACAGTTTTTGAAATCATAAACATAGTCTTCATAAAAAACCGACTCTTTAAAATAGCCAATAGGGATAAAAAATTCATACGGCTTATGCCTGAATGATTCACAAAACAATGGATCGACCGGCGTACACACATTTAGATCAGGTATATGTAAAAAAAATGAGATCCAGGAATGTTCCATGTATGTTTGGTATATTATTGCACTGATGGAGATTTAAAAATGCAAAAGATCCACATACAGTATTCGCATGAGATCCATCAGGAAGTATGGTAGATAAATAAACCCCGTTTTGTTCATTAGCTCATTGAGCATCTCTCGGGTTGTAATCGCCAGCCAAGATCACAGAACTCTGTGGATGTTGACTTATCAGTTCCTCAAGAAAGGTGCAGTGATATTCATATGCCTCAGCTAATGAACTAGGTAGTATATAGATTCCTCCTATTATAAGCTGATCATCATTCAGTTTAACTTCCACAAAAAGTTGTTCTGTGCTAAAGAAATTTGACTTACATATTAATTTAGAGGGTAGGTTTTTCTTGATTGCAATATACACTCCTCCACCCACAATGTCCAATCCATGCTGATAGCGGTCCTGCCTATAAACATTATAGTTTAATAGATCAGTCTCACTAACCAAAAACTTTTCAGATAGCCACGATTCAATCAAAATAACAATATCATAATCATTTAGTAGCAAAGAGTCCCTTAACTGAGAGAGTTTAGTTCGAACTCCACCAATATTATGAAAGTAACGTTTTAGGCTACTTCTCAGTTTTTTGGCTGGTTAGTAGTTTTTTTCACTATTGTAGGCTTATTATTAATGAATTTGATTGTATTAGAATTATCACCATTCTTAACCATATTATCTAATTGTAATTTGATTTTCTTGAAATACTCTTGCTGGGCTTTTGTTTGATCCAGGGAAATTCTGACATTGGGCACTTTAATTAATCTTTTATTTTTGACAACAGTTTTAGCATCTTCAGCTGAATTTAATACTACTTTAATGGGTCTCGTTCTGTTAGCAAATTGTCCCAATCTAAATAGTTTAAAATTATTTTTGTTAATATTAAAATCAGTCAAAATATTTAGTACCGCTTGTTTGTCCTCTGCATAACGATCCGATTGATTATTTTTAACAGATTCATTAACATTATATATAATTATATTGGAAGTCCTATTTTTCCTCTCCAGCATTTTGGAAATAATATCCTCCATATCTGGTGCAACAGATGCGACATTTTCCTTATGTAGAATTTTATTTATACTTTACTTAAGCTCACTCACTTCTTTTAACAGAGCTGGTACCTTGTGAAATCCAACTTCGCACTGTTCACAGAAAAACTTTAGTTTACGTTTCATTTTCAACTGCATGCACTTCAGATGCTGTTAGATTACC